CCCCCCACCCAGCAGAGAAACCACCCCCCCGGGACCCCCACCCCGACCCCTCCAAATCCCAAACTCCCCCAAATCTCACACAACGCGCTGATCTGAGGCCCCTCGAGGCCATTTAATCCCCCTCGGGACCTCCCCAGACCCCCGTGAGCTGCTCCCCCTCCCCACCCCCCTCCCGGGGGGTCAGCCCATAGATCTCGATGTCCCCCTCGGGGTCTCTCCGCAGCAGCTGCACCCGAAAAAACGGGGGCAACATCTGCCCGAAGAAACGGGAGGTCCCCGCGTCCCCCCCCCGCCGGCGGGCGCTGAGCAGGGCCCGGCCCGGGGGGACCACGAGGTGCCGGAGGGTGCCCAGGAGGGGGGCGAAGGCACGGGGGTCGTACACGATGTCGGAGCCCAGCACCAGGTGGAATCTGGGGGGGAAGCGGCGCTGGTCCCGCCCCCAGCGCAGCGCCCGCACCCGCGGGGCCCCTCCCGCGACCCCCTCGGGGGACCCCCCCGGGAAGTTCTGCCGAACGTTCTCCCGCAGCTGCGGCAGCGCCGCCGGACGGTCCGTGAGCGTCACCTCCGCCCCTGCCCCGGGACAGGGCGGTCAGAGCGGGGCACCCCTAAGCCCCCTGGAACCCCCAGACCCCAATAAACCCCGGGACAGAGGGGGGTGCACCACACCGAGACCCCCTCCAGGACCCCAATAAACCCCGGGTAAGAGTAGAGCCATCCCCAGTGGACCCCCCCAAACCCACCGGGAACCCCCGGACCTCAATAAACCATCCCCAAAAGACCCCTTTAAGCCCCGTGTCAGAATGGGGGTCACCCCCACTGCACCTCCCAAAACCCTTCCCGGAGCCCCCAGACCCCAATAAACTCCAGGGAAGGGGGGGGGAGCACCACCCGTGGAGCCCCCAGACCCCAATAAACCTGCTGCTCACAACAGTTCCAAATTCTGTACTGGGCAGGGGAACAGGGACCCCCCCAAACCCATGGGTGCCCCTCAGCCCCACGGCTGTCCCCCCCCAAACCCCAAGGGTGTCCCCTTCCAGCCCCACAGATGCCTCCCCTCACCCCTCAGGTGCCCTCTCCACCTCCATAAACTTCCGCCCCAACCCCATGAGTGCCCCCCCCCCTCCCCGGTGCCCCCACTGGCCCCCCCCGGGCCCCCCCCGGGCCCCCCCGGTGCCCCCCCCCCCCGCACCCAGCATGGCAGCGAAGATCCCCACGATGCCGGTGCCCGCCCCCAGCTCCAGAACCCGCCGCCCACCCAAGTCCAGGCGCTGCTCCCCCAGGAACCGGCACAGGGACAGGGCCTGGGGGGGGCACAGGGGGAGTGGGGTGGGGGACAGCACGCCCCGGCCATAGGAATCCTTAGGGAACCCCCCACCCAGTGCCCCCGTCCTCCTCAGGGTGCCCCCTCAAGGTCCGCCCCCACCCCCCCTGGCCCCCCCGTACCCCCGTTTTCTCGTTCCCCATCGCCGCCCCACCCTCCTGGTACCCCCGGGATGCCGCGTGTGTCCTCCCCGGACTCCCCCGGACCCCCTCAGCTCCCGGTACCCCCCGGTATCACTCGCGGTACCCTCGGAATGTCCCCACCAGCCCCCGTGCCCCGGGAAGTCCCCACCCACCCTCCGGTTCCCCGGGATGTCACCGCCCGCTCCGGTACCTCCGGGATGTCACCGCCCCCCGGGTCCCCCGGGATGTCCCGGTACCCCCCAGTACTCCCGTTATCCCCCCACCCACAACGCGCCCCGGGACTCACCCAGCCCCCGCCGTGCCGCCCGCCCCTCAGCCCCCCCCCCCGGTGCCCCCTCACCGCCTCCCAGACGCTCCCGGCCGTGCCGAGCCCCGGCCCGTGCAGCTCCGCGATGCGCAGGACGCGCCCGCACAGGCGGAACCGGCGCCGCGCCGGGAAGGACTCGGCAAAGAGCTCGGGGTCGCGGGGGAACACGGCCCGCAGCCCCTTCTCCTCTTCCTCGTCCTCTTCCTCCTCCGTTTCCTCCTCCTCCTCACCCCCTCCCCCGGGCCCCACGTGGCCCGTGGGCGCCGCCATCTTGGAAAGGGTGGGGCCGGGTCGCACCTCCGCACGTGATTGGTTGGTCTGTGCTAAGCCACACCCTCTCCTGGGGGCGGTGTTTTGGAGCTCCGCCCCTGTCCCCGCTCGTCCCGCCCCCGCCGTGCCCGAGGGGGTCCAGTGTCCCCTCCCGCACCCTGGTGTCACCCGGTGTCCCCTCCCCTCTCCCGTTGTCCCCCAGTGTCACCTGCCCCACGTCCCATCCGTCCCAATGTCTCCTGCTGTGTCCCTCCTGTCCCCTGACCTGCTCCCTCCCCATCCCAGTGTTCCCTGCCCCATAACTCTGTCCCCTGCCCGGTCCCACTGTCCCCTTCCCCATCCTGATGTTCCCCAGTGTCTCCCAGTGTCCCCTGACCCATCCCAGTGTCCCCAGTCCTGTCACCGTTGTCACCCCCCGCCCAGCCTTGTCCCCATGTCACCCCGGCCAGACCCCCCCTCTCCCTCTGGGGTTTTTTCCCGATGCCACCCTCTGTCCCCTCCTGCTCCTGTCACTGTCCCATCAACACCAGTGTCACCGGTGCCACCAGTGCCACCACGGCCCAGAGCCAGCCCGTGTCTGCAGTGTCCCCAAGGCTCTGGTGTCCCTGCTCAGGGTGTCTCTGTCCCCGTGTCCCTGACTCCAGTGCCCCTGTCCCCCTGTCCTTCTCCCCCTGGTGTCACTGGCCCCATGTCCCTTTCCTTAGTGTCCCTGATCCTGGTGTCCCCGGTCCCATGTCCCCAATCCCTTGTGTCCCTGGCCCTGGTGGCCTTGGCCGTGATGTCCCTGATCCAAGAGTCCCTGTCCTTGGTGTCCCTGGTTGTCCCTGGCCCCATCCCCCTGTCCCTGGTGTCCCTGGCTCCTGCTTGTCCCTGGCCCTTGTGTCCCTTATGCACTTCTTGTCCCAGCTATCCCATTCCCAATGTCCCTCCTTCCTGCCCCCCTGTCCCTGCTGTCACCGGTGTCCCTGTCCCTCTGTTCCTGGCCAGGGAGAGGGTTGCTGTGCCAGCCCCCCCCGGGGCCCCCTCAGTGCCATCTCCGCGGTGCCAGAGCCCCGCTCCCAGTGCCACCCGCGCTGGGATCACCGGGATCACTGGGATAACCAGTAACCGGGGGGGGGGGAGGGGGGGCAGGGAGTAACCCGGGGGGATCCCTCGGGGTAATGAACAACCTTCCCTCCCCACGCACCCCCCCGGAGTGTCCCTGGATTCCCCCGGGACCCCCCACGCGGCCGCGTCACCACCCGCGTCACCGGGTTAATGGTGACCCGGGGGGGTCAGGGAGGGGCGGGGGGGTCGGGGAGCCCAGAGGAGGAGAGTGGGGGAGGGTTTGGTTCTCGTGTCCCCCCCTCCCCGCCCCCCCCGGACTCTCCCCCCGCGGGGCCGTTCCTGGAAGCCCCCCCGGGCTGGGCAGGTCCGGTTCCCTCCCCAGACCGATTCCCCCCAACACCCTCCGGGGTTCCCAGAAATCGCCCCTGGTTTCGCCGCAGCCAAATTCCCCAAATGACCCCGAGCGGGAACAGCCCGGGGGAGGGATGGGACTGGGGGATTGCGAGGACGGGGAGGGATGGGACTGGGAATGCTGGGGGGATTGCAAGACGGGGGGAGGGATGGGACCGGGAATGCTGGGGGGATTGGGAGGACGGGAAGGGATGGGACTGGGAACGCTGGGGGGATTACGAGGACGGGGGAGGGTGTGGGAGGGGATGGGACTGGGAGGACTGGGGAGACTGGGGCGTCGGACTGGGGGAGACTGGAGAGACTGGAGGTGTTGGGGGAACTTGGGGTCACTGGGGGGACTGAGGGCGGTGGGGGAACTGGGAGTACTGGAGGGACGGGACTGATGGGTGAGGACTGGTGAACTGGGGGCGTGGGGGGACTGGGGAGACGGGGGGCAGTTGAGGAGATTGGGGGATACTGGGGGCACTGGTGGGACTGGAGACACGGGGGAGACGGGAAGGACTGGGGGACACTGAAGGGACTGGGGAGACTGGGAGCACGGGAGGACACTGGGAAGCAGGGGGGCAACTGGGGGGCACTGGGAGGACTGGGGACACTGGGGAGCACTGGGGAGGACTCTGGGGGTACTGGGAGCACTGAGGGAGCACGGGGGACTGGGAGCACTGGGAGCACTGGGGAGCACTGAGGGGCACTGGGAGCACCAGGGGGAGCGCTGGGAGCACTGGGAACACTGGGGAGCACTGGGAGGGCACTGGGAGCACTGGGGACACTGGGAGAGACTGGGGAGACTGGGGACAGCTGGTGAGACTGGGGATACTGGGGGCACTGGTGGGACTGGAGACGGGGAAGACGGGAAGGACTGAGGGACACTGAAGGAACTGGGAATACTGGGAGCACGGGGGGACACTGGGAAGCAGTGGGGCAACTGGTAGGCACTGGGAGGACTGGGGCCGCCAGGGGGCGCTGTGGAGCATCGGTGGGCGTGGCTCGCAGTGTACAGTGACGTCAGTATTCAGCGCCCACCCGTGACGTCATTCGCGCGCCGCCGGAGCCGCGATGGCGGCGCAGGGGGGGGGAGGAGGAGGAGGCGCCGGTACCTCCCCAGAAGCGCTTTTACCGCCAGCGCGCGCACTCGAACCCGCTGGCAGATCACACCCTGCGCTAGTGAGTTACGGGGACACCGCAAAACCCCCGGGATCCCCCGGGACCACCCCCGTTAGCACCCGGGACGGTACCGGAACCCCCATCACGGCCCCGTGCGTAACCATGGTAACCTGGACCCCCCCGGGACACACGGGGTGGGTCCCCGCTCGTCCTCCATCCTTTCCCGGGACCCCCCGAGCGACCCTCCGGGACCCCCCGGCCCAAAACCCCCTTCACGGTCTCACCGGTCACCGGGACCCCCCGGAACACCCGGGCTGGGCCCCCCCTCGTGCTCCATCCCCTCCCGGGGCCCCCCCGGTAACACCCGGGCCGGGTACTGGGAACCGCCCCCCCGGGTCGGGACCCCCATCACGGCCCCCCGGTGCCCCCTCCGCGGTAACGGCCCCCCCGGGGCCCCCCTGACCGCCGGTGCCCCCCCCGCAGCCCCCCCCGGCCGCAGGACATGGACTGGGCCTCGCTGTTCCCGGCGTTTTTCCCGCCCGACGCCCCCCCCGGGACTCCCCCGGCCCGCGTGGAGTTCGCAGACGTGGGATGCGGGTACGGGGGGCTGCTCGGTGAGAACGGGGGACCCGGGGGGGCTCTGTGGGTACGGGGGGGCTGCTCGGTGAGAACGGGGGACCCGGGGGGGGTCTGTGGGTACGGGGGGGCTGCTCGGTGAGAACGGGGGACCCGGTGGTCTCTATGGGTACGGGGGGGCTGCTCGGTGAGCGAAGGGGGCCTGAGGAGGGGCAGGGGAGGGTACCGGGGGAGGGACGGGGGTCCCTGGGGAGTGCATGTAGGGGGAGGTCTTGGGGGAGGGGGGATGGAGGGGGGCAAGTGGGGAACAGGGGGGCCAGGGGTTGCAAGGGAGATCCCTGGGGGTCTGCCCCCCCTGTCCCGGCCCCCTCCGAGCTGAGCTCCCAGACCCTGGGGGTGGAGCTGAAGGGGAAAGTGGCACTGGGGGGGGTGTTGGGGTGTCCCTGACCCTGTGGCCCCCCCAGGGTGTTGGGGGGGGCGGGGGGGGGGTCCCTGACCCAGGGCCCCCCTTGGGTTTACGGGGTGCCAGGGGGTGTTTTGAGGGTGTCCCTGACCCCGTGTCCCCCGCAGTGGCCCTGGCAGAGCTGTTCCCCCAGACCCTGGCCCTGGGGCTGGAGCTCCGAGGGAAGGTGGCCGCGTTCACGCGGGCGCGGCTCCGGGCGCTCCGGGCGGCCCGGCCCGGCCACTTCGGCAATGTGGCCTGTGTGAGGGGCAACGCCATGAAACACCTGCCCCACTTCTTCCACAGGGCACAGGTGGGACCCCCGGGACCCTCCCAACACCCCTTGAAACATCTGTGTCCCTGGGAACCCCCCCTGAAACCCCTCTGGGTCCCCAACCCCCGGGGAACCCCTGCCCCACTTCTTCCACAGGGTCCATGTAGGATCCTTGAGACCCCTCAACCCCCCCCACCCCTGGGACCCCCCAACATCCCCACCCAACAGCCCCAGCCAGGACCCTTAGGACTCTTTCCAACCTTGAGACCCCCAGGACCCCCTTTCCAGGACAGGATCCCCCCGTACCCTCTGCACATCCCAGGAACACCCCCAGTCCCCCCGTGCCCCCTCCCTGGGTGCCTCGTCCTGCCCCCACTCAAGGGGTCCGTGTGGGGTCTGGGGGGTCAGTGCCAGTGGGGTGCTGCCCCTCTGACCCCTCCACCCCCGCCCCCCCCAGCTCTCCAAGTTGTTTTTCCTGTTCCCCGACCCCCATTTCAAGCGCACGAAGCACAAGTGGAGAATCATCAGCCCCGCGATGCTGGCAGAGTACGGCTTCGTGCTGCGGCCTGGGGTGAGACCCTGCTGACCCCCCCACAACCACCCTGACCCCCCCGGGCTCCCCAACCCCCCCCATGTCCACTCACGTGCTGTACCCTGGGGTGAGCCCCCACACCCCTACTGACCCTCCCTGAGCCCCCAGAGCCACCCTGACCCCCCAGTGGTGCCAACCCCCCCCCCCAGGATCCCCTGGCATTGCTGGGGGGGAGGGGGGTCCAGCCCTGCTGGGATTGGGGGGTTTTGGGGTGTCCCTGATTTTGGGGCTATGGGCGGGGCTGGGGGGGGGGGGGGGGGGGGGGCGCTGGTGTACACGGAGGGGGGGGTTGGGGTATCCCTGATTTGGGGGTGTCCCTGATATGGGGTGTCCCTGATTTGGGGTCCAGGGCCTGGTGTACACGGTGACAGATGTCCCTGAGCTGCACCAGTGGATGCTGCATCATTTCGGGGAGCACCCCCTGTTCGAGCCCCTGCCCCCTGCCCAGCTGGTAAGGGACACTGGGGGGCACTGGGGGAGGATTGGGGAACACAGGGGGGCACTGGGGATTGACTGGGGGGCACTGGGTGTTATGGAGGAGCACTGGGGGGCAACTGGGGACACAGGAGTGGGGGAGGAACGTTGGGGGAGGCACTGGGGGTCACTGGGGAACTGACTGGGGGTAATAGGGGGCTTCTGGGGGACAAGGGGAAGTCACAGAGGGGTCAGTGGGGGGGGTACTTGGAGGGATCCCTGATGCCCCTGGGGGGTCCCTGGTGTCCCCAAGTTGTTTTAGGTGTCCATGAGGGTCTCTGGTGCCCCCAATGCCCCTTGGGATGTCCCCAGGGTGTCACTGGTGTACCTGGGGGGTCCCCACATTGTCCCTGGGGGGTCCTTGTGTCCCCGATGCCCCAGGGGGTTTCCAGGTTGTCCCTGGTGTCCTGGGGGGCTCCCTAGTGTCCCCGGGGGGGTCCTTGCTGTCCCTGGTGTCCCAGCCCCTCTGTGCCCCCCCAGGCCACGGACCCGCTGCTGCCGCTGCTGCCGGCGGTGACGGAGGAGGGGCAGCGGGCCCAGCGGGCCGGGCGGCCCCCCCGCACCGCCGTGTTCCGCCGCCGCCACGACCCCCCCCCGGGGGGGCCCTGAGGGGCCGGGGGGGGCCGGACCCCCGCGAGCCCCCGGGGACCCTCCCCCACAACCCCCATTTTTTAATAAAGCTGCAAAGTGTCCCCAAGCCTCGTGTTTCCAACCCCCCCACCCCAAAATCCCCCTGGGGAGGGGGGAATGTCACTCCTCCCTCCCCCGCCCCACGGCAGCTGCCGGGAATTGCACCTTCCCAAAAAAATGGGGAGGGCGGGGCCGGTTCCTGCCTCAGTTTCCCCATCGCAGGAAACCCCCGGGGGCTTGGGGGGACCCCAGTGACCCCCCCCCTTCCCCACGCGGGGGGTTTCCAGAGGCCCCGCCCGGTGGCGCAAGGTGGAAATTCCCGGGAATGCGGGACGGGGTGGGGGGGAACCGCCGTGCGTGTGTCCCGGGGGGGTCAGACCAGCCCCTCCCCGGGACTGGGGTGCACTGGTGGGACTGGGCGGGGCCACTGCGTGTCCCCTCCCCCCCGTGGGAAGGCACCCCCCCAACCCCAAATGCCGCACATCCAGTTTGGGGCGTACTGGGACCAGTTTGTGACTGGGAGGGTGGGTTTGGGGGGGGATTTGGTGTTTTTTTGGGGGGTCCGGGACCGTTCTGCCCACTCAGGGAGGGAGGCGGAGCTTTCCGCCGAGGCCCCGCCTCCTCCTGGCGCTGATTGGACCGAGGGGACCCAGCATACAAATCAACCCTCGGAGATGGGCGGGGCTTAGCGCCCATGGGGCGTGTCTAATTATGAAATGGGCGGGGTTTCGGGCGAACGGGGCGGGGTTTGATGGTTTGGGGGCGTGGTCCTGGCAGAGTGGGCGTGGCCCCGACGGCTCCTCGTGGGCACTATAAAGGCCCGGCCCCGGGGCCGCGGCTCAGTCGAGGATCGGCCCCGCGACGCCCCCGGAGATCCCCCCCCGCGACCCTCCCCTGCTGTCCCCCACTCCCTCCGGTGCCACCAGCGCTACCCGTGTCCCCCCCGCCGCCCCCGCGTCACCCGGTACCACCAGTGCCACCCGCATTGCCCCGTGTCCCCCGGTGCCACCCGAGCCCCCCAACCCGCCATGCCCCCCACCCTGCGCCCCCCATTCCGGGCTGTCCTGTCCCACTCCCTGCCCGAGCCGGGGGTCCCGCGGCGTCCCCCGGCCCCCCCACGCCCCCGGGGCCTGGCGGAGATGCCGGGGCCGAGCTCCTCCTCCTTCATCTTCGAGCTGCTGTGCCGGGGGGGGGGTGCGGAGGCTGCACGAGATGCAGGTAATGGGGCCGGGGAGAGGGGACAGGCAGCCCCTCTGGGCTGGGGGTGCGGGGCTCTCTGCCCTGGGGCTTGGAGGGGGCGAAAGGACAGCGAGACCCCCATCTGGGGCTTGGAGGGCACAGGGCGCTCCCCATGGAGGGCTGCCCGGGGGGTCGGGTGTTCCCCATGGGGGGCTGCCCGGGGGGTCTGGGTGTTCCCTGTGGGGATCTGAGAGCTGTGGACGGGGTTTGGAGGCTGCCCAGGGGGCGAGGGGGCTATGAGTGGGGGGGCTGTGGGCTGGGGGGGTTGGGGACTGCCCGGGGGTCTGATCCCACCGCCTAGGGCTTGGAGGGGACATAGGGACCCCAATCCCACTGGAAGGGACGGAGAGACCCTGCTGCCACCACTTGGGGCTTGGAGGGGGGGGACGGACCCTCTTCGTGCTGCTCTGGAGCCGGTGGGGCCCGGCGGGGTCCTGGTCCTGCTGTCCTGGGGGAGGGTACGGAGGGGCTGGGAGGGCTCTGGGTCACCGACCTGGAGCTTGGAGGAGACACGGGATACCCCAGACCCACCCCCTCGAGTCCTGGAGGGGACGGGAGGCACCGCGGTCCCTCCACACTCCAAGGTGTGGGGAGACCCCGATTTCAATCCCTGGGGCATGGGAGGGGGGCAAAGGGGCCCCCCCTCACTGCCCCAGGGCTGGGGGAGGGTCGGGGGACCCCAAACTGATCCGCAGGGTGTGAGGGGGGTTGGGATCGGGGCTGCGCAGGGGCAGGACCAGCTCCCGGTGTCTCCTCAGTGCCGGGGGTGGGGCAGCGGCACCGGGGACGGGGTGCCGAGGGTGCCCCCCCCGTGCTCCCGGGGGGCACAGCGGGCCGGGGACCGCGGGGAGACCGAGACCCCCCCGGCCCGCGCTGCAGCCGATCCTGTCCGACCCCTCCCTGCTCAAGGACCCCCGGTGTGACCTCCCGGTGCGCCCCCGGTGCCCCCCAGCCCGAGGCCGGGTCTGTGCGACCCCCGGTGCCCCCGAGCCTCCCGTGCCCCCGAACCGGGTGCCGGTCCCAGTTGGGGCCGCCGTGGGAGCCCCGCTGGGGCCGGTGTGACCCTCCCCGTTTCCCCCAGGTCCACGGCCGGGCGCGGTTCGGGCCGCTCTGGAAGGCCCGGTTCGGGCCGGTGCTCACGGTTCACGTGGCCGAGCCCGCGCTCGTGGCTCAGGTGCTGCGCCAGGAGGGGCCCGACCCCTCCCGCGCCCTCCGCTGCCCCTGGAAGGACCACCGGACCCTCCGGGGGGTCCCGGGGGGGCTCCTCACACTGTGAGTGTATTGGGGGGTCACCAAGGGGAGGGGGCCGGGGGGGGCTGAGCCTCTGGGTGATGGGAGGACTCTGGGGGGGACTCCCCATGGGGGGTGGTCGTGGGGGGCTGCCCAGGGGGGGTTGGGGGCTGTGAATTGGGGGGCTGTGGGCGGGGCTGAGGGTGGAGGGCTGAGGGGGGGCACTGGGGACTGCCTGAGGGATCTGGGTGTTCCCCATGGAGGGGATGTTTGTGGGGTCTGGGGGCTGTGGATGGGCTTTGGGGGCTGCCCGGGGGGGGCTGTAAATGGGCTGGGGGGGTTTGGGGTCTGCCCATGGGGGGTCTTCAGGCTGGGGTTGGGTTTTGGGGGCTGGACAGGGGGGCCGGGGCTCACTGTTGGGAGGTGATCCCACCCCATGCACAGGGGCTTGGGGGCTGCATGTGGGATCTGGAGGTTCACACGGGGGGG